CTCCAAGATCTGCCAAAGTGAAGAATGACGAAAAACAGACAAGTGCTGGGGTATACCCCCAGCGGACTGACTGACTGGACTGGACTGGCCTGACACCGACAGTAGTACCGGGCAGGACTAGAACAGCACACGGCCTATGGGGTCAGGCCACGGCCTGGTCCCACAGGCCGAACTGGGAAAATAGCCAAATAGGCCCTGGCTATAGGCCAGAGCAGATGAAGGCCCGCTGCACGATCCTTAGACCTGTAATGGATCGCAAGAGCCATAAACACGCTATCCGCAAAAGCAGCGGAACTCTGCAATAAAGAAAGCTGAGAAATCTAGGATGCGGAGCAAGCTCCATGCGGAGTCGATGCGATGCATCCTAAGCTACATAATGTCAAAAGAAAAGCAAATGTCTGGTATACATATCCTAGCTAACAGCAGAAAATGAAATGTAGTATGATACAATTCTAAAGTCCTGGAGGCAGTGGCCTCAGTGCTGAAAGGAAAAGGGCAATATGTCACAGGATAATGTCATGTCGCGGAACCACTAAGAGTGGGATGGTATCAGAGGGGGTGAATGCAGCCTAAGAATCGAAACTCCTAAGGGCAGTCACACATGAAGGTGGGATAGGTCATCAGGCTCAAGGTGGGAGAGTGGTAGCGAAACAAAACCAATGGCCGTAACGAGTTGGGTGGATGATTGGCCTGGGGCCATATTGGAATTTCACGGCGAATGCGCCTTCATGATTGCGGATCATTTCTTTTGGTGTGAGTTCAGGGCTGCAAAGCCGAATGCTCCCTTGTTGAGTTTTGGTGTCTCCTGTCTCGGTTTTTCTCGTCTATCCCTCCCATTTCTCTCTCTCCGACTCGAATGACGATGTGTTGTGGGATTGTCTCTCTTGTGAACCGAAGTGAACTCTCGTGACTTCCTGCGAAGAAGAACTTCTTCCGGAACTCTTCCATTAGTTTCCTGGGTAATCCCCAGATGCAAAGAACTCGATCATCTTGTCTTGTGAACGGTGGATGTGTGTGTACAATCCCTCGATTGATTTCTGCATTACGCGCCCTTGTCATTTTCGCACCTTCCAGGGTGAATGTCTGTATAGAAATGCTTATATTTCTGCGTTGATTAGAACCAGAGATCGGCGGAATTTTGTTCGAGAATGCAAGAGTGTTTAGATCTGTCGTTCTGAATGCATTGCGCATGCCATCTGCCTTATGATGCACGACATCAACAGACAGTCTGTGGGGAGACCTCGAAAAAGCCAAGCGCCTCGTGTTTTTGTTGATCTGGTCCGTTGAAACTGAGTCGCGGGTTGATCCCTCTGAACTCCAACCTGATTAATGCATGGTTGTGCGGGTTCCGTAAGATGCTTCTCTCGTGTCAAAAGGAAGGAAAATACTAGTTAACTCTTTTCCGATTGTGTTTTTTTTATGACGTCTCGAGGGTTGTTGTAAACTCCGTTTGATTGATTGATATGTGGACTAACGGTCGTTCCTCGATCGGACGTCAGCCTTCCGTACCTCCCTCACCGACGCACCCCTTCCCCTACAACGAGGAAAGGACACGTGTATGTGAGTGGGGCGTACGAGAAGCTGTCGCACGGATCGGCGGACAATATTACTTTCCTCCTGAAAATCGTTGTTCCAGGTTCGTGGATGCGGGCTTTGTCATTATCGATACGCACTTCCCACCATACTCAGTAATGTTGCCATTTAACGAGCTGATCGTCATTCCGTGGACGGCAGGGGCGCCCCATTGGCCTCGAACCCTGTGCACTTAGTGCTAGCGTTTCGATCGTTACGTATCAAAGGGCTTCCACTAACGGATACGGAGTGAAGACGAGCACAAGGAAAGAGCCACGCGGCTGAGACCATCCACGTCAGACTCGGAACTGACCAACGAGTGACATCGGGACTTGATCCGAAAACGGGATACGCGGAGTGTACCGAAGCCCTTCCACTCTAAACGAAGATCCATAGCGCGGTGGGAAGCTCGACAATACTTTTTGGATTGAATTTTGATTTTTCTCTTTGCGCGCCGTGCCCGCGCGCGCATTCCGCGACGCGCGAAAGCAACCGACTTGCCTCATTGGGCCAACACGGGGGATTTCAGTTCTGTCTGTGTCCCCACACTCAATTTTCCAAAAATCCTTGGCACACCCCATCTTGCTGTTTTTATGGGCCTTCATTCCGCACCTTTAGCACTCTGAACGACTGACAGCACAGGGCGTGAGGTTGCGCGTCACACGCCCGACCAGTGTCGCCTCAGCCTAAAAGCTTGAAAACAAGGTTCTACAGGCCCTGTGTCGTTTCAGCCTGAAAGCCTGAAAACAAGGGCCTACAGGCCCTGTAGCCTAAAAGCCTGAAAACGAGGGCCTACAGGCCCTGTGTCGTTTCAGCCTAAAATCCTGAAAACGAGGGTCATTTTCAGGCCCTCATAAAGTCGACCTGCCCTGAAACTTAGGCACCAGACCAGGGTTTTCGCACAGGCCATTTTGGGTCTGTTTTGAAGACAACCTTTGTTTGAACTTCAACGCCAGGGTCTGGCACGTTTTGGCATTGGCAAGAGCAGCCTCCTGGACAGGCCAGCACTATATAAGACTGGCCCGCCCTACAGGCTGCAGGAAGTCACGAGGTAGTTCATAGGGACTTCCCAGGCACTTCACGTGCAGGAGGCAGGAGGCAGTCTTCAGAATTCGGCAGCAGCACTCTGGAGGAGCGCTGCAGTAATAGTAGTAGCGTTAGCAGTAATCTTCAGCGCTGGGAGCTACTAGGAGCTAGAGTAGCGTTGGAGAGAGAGAGATGGTTGGCGGAGGCCAGGGAGACTTACCTGTGGCGCCATAACTCCAGCTTCGTCTTCGATGTACCTGCAACAAGGCCCCACCTTCACAGGTTAGTACCGGAATGAGAGAGAGAGAGAGAGTTCTTCTTCTTCCTCTTCTAAGTCCATCATCTCTCCCTCACCCTCTCACTACCTAACTTCTCAGTATCTGCAGACTACGAGAGAGAGAGAGAGAGAGAGAG